CCCTGCTGGATCAGACCCAAACCCCGGGAACGCCATTCTCCCGCCTGCTGGGGCCTCCCACCTGCCCCTTAGTCTGGACTGGCAGGAGAAAAGCCCCCCCCCCGGAAATCACGTCACATGACACCTCATCATCACATCCAGCTTTACCGCCATTAGATTGATTCTTGCTTGAGTGGTGCCTGGATAAGAATAAATACATATGAGCAGAGGTCATTTCGGGGGGGATCGCGGGGGAACGCAGTTCCCCCGGGTGAGGTGCAGGGGGGCGGGGCACATGACGAAGCCCCGCCCCCTGCTTCCGGCCGCCCCGCTTCCAGCCCTCATTCAGCCAGGAGGAGGCAGGAGAAGAGGGAGGGTAAGTTGCTTCCTCCCCGCCTCTCCCCACCCCTGCCTGCCTGGGGCCAGGGAGGGCCTTCGCGGGGCTTCCTCGCACTCCCGCTGGCCTTGCAGGTCCACCACCGGGCCCCTGATGTCAGGGGGTGTGGCATATACTAATGAGTTATGCTAATGAGTTCCCCTAGCTCTTTTTCTACGAAATGACCCCTGCATATGAGGCTTTTTTGGAATGAATGTCTTATTTAATTACTTTGACTTATGTAACAGCAATTAGTTAATTGATGCACTGTGCTTAGTTCCACTTATGAAGTATACCAAAACGAGGCTTTTATATCCGGAATCCTTGTGTGACTTCTGCCTGACTTTTTGACTTCTGCCTGGTTTTTTTTATTTCTATCTGACTTCTGACGTTCTGCTCCCTTTGGACTGATTTGGGGGGGGGGGGACTCTTTTGGATCCCATTTGTTTGACCATTCTCTGTCTTACAGTCTTTGTTATGGCATTCTATATTTCTTGGATATGTGATTATGTTAATACTGCTTAATTCTTTATTGAATTATATATCTTCATGACCTTTAAAAGGTAAAGGTTCCCTTGCTCGAAAGCCAGTCGAGTCCGACTCTAGGGTTGCGGTGCTCATCTCCGTTTCAAAGCCGAAGCGCCAGCGCTGTCCGAAGACGTTTCCGTGGTCATGTGGCCGGCATGACTAAACACCAAGGCGCACGGAACGCTGTTACCTTCCCACCGAAGTGGTACCTATTTATCTTTACTTACTTATAAAATTCCTGTTTAATATATCTGCATTTTATTACAGTGTATTTGTTATCTTCTTGTTTGGATATGCACTGTAATCCTTCTTGCGTATTGTCCTTAGTGTGGACTGGCAGGAGAAAAAGAGGGGGGCCGAAATCACATCACACAACACGTCATCATCACATCCGGCCAAAAACCCAGATGTGATTTTAGCACATCACCCCACACTCTGGAAACTCTTCTAGGGTACTACCCATGAGTTTCCAGACTGTCTGCTGATGCTCTGACTTCACATCCAGGTATTAGGCTGGACAAGATATCAACATGACTTCATGTCCCCCCCCCCCATGCTCTACTCTCAGACCTCGGGGGGGGGAGGGTCAGGCCCTGGCCTGGCACCCCTCGTTCAGTATCCTCATTCTCACTGTGGCCCGCCAGATGCCCCCGGAAAGCCTTTAAGCAGGGCCACAGAACCCGAATTATTGGCCCCTAGCAATGGGGTTTCAGAGGTATGCTGTCCCAGAACACGGGGCGTGTGTGTCTGTAGAGTGGCATCAAGTCACAGCTGACCTACGGTGACCCCACAGTTATTCCAAGGAAGAGGCCTTCCGGGGTGTGTGTGTGTGTGGCACTGCCTGCCTCTGCACAGCAACCCTGGACTCCTTTGGTGGTCTCCCATCCAAGAACTAACCAGGGCTGACCCTGCTTAGCTTCTGAGATTGGATGAGGCTGGGCTAGTCTGGGCCACCCAGGTCAGGGGGACGTGGAGCTTCCACCTAATCACCATGGCTAATAGCTCCACCAAGATTTGCCTTCGTTTCCTTTTTTGAGCCACCTTGAGTCCCTCTAACCATGGAAGGAAGGTTGAGATATGCATATTTTAATTAATGTAAATAAGAATGGAACTGCCCTCCATGAATCTGTCCTACTCCCCCTTCAAGTGGAGTGGCCGTCACTACATGCTGTGGCACTCTGTCTTAGAACTCCAGTAGTCTGTAAAAGTATCCCCCCTTTTCTCCTGTCCTGAACTTTCTGCCCAACAACTTGACTAGTACCCTAACCCCATCTGGGTACGGGACACCCTTACCACATGACAGGGCATCTTGGGCATTCTCCTGGGCCTGCGCCCTCTGACCTTCCTGTGACGGAGCTCCTTCTGCCTCAGAGAACTCTGCTTCCACCTTCACAGATCGTCCCCACATCTGAAACAACGGAATGGGACACAGGTAAGAGACCCACTCCCGGTCTCCTCATCCCCGCATCCACCGTCAGAGCTGCTCCAACCACAGAAGAACTGGGGTTGGGTTTTCTTCCCAGCCTAGTGAGTTACTATCTAGAGGTAGAAATATCTAAGAAAAGATGGGAACAATACACTGAAGAATTATACAAAAGAGATGAAAGGAGGACACGTTCCTTTCAAGAACAATCTTTTGAAGAAGAAGGAAGAGTTTTAGAAAGTAAAGCTGCACTGAGACAATTAGGAGAAACAAACCACCAGGAGTAGATGGGGTATCTATAGAGCTATTCCAAGACAAAGAAAAGCAGTCCCTCGAAATCTTAACAGGAGTATGATTACAAAGATGGAAAACAAAACAACGGCCCACAGACTGGAAATGCTCACTTTACATTTTAATACCAAAAAATTGAGTCATCAAAGGCTGTAGCAACTATCGGACCAGTGCATTAATTTCTCGTGAAAGTAAAGTGATGCCCAACATTTTACAACAACGATTGTTGCCATATACCAAAAGAGGAATGCCAGACGTTTCAGGTGGGCACCAGAAGGAAGAGGCACCTGAGATCATATTTCAAAGTTACGCTGGTTAATGGAGCACAGGAGAGAATTTCAGAAGAACATCTGTTTGTGATTCATAAATTACATCAACGTTTCTGACTGTGGGGGAACATGAAAAGCTATGGTTGGTTTTAAAAGCAATGGGTGTGCCACAACATCTGACTGTTTTGATGAGCAACCTGTACTCTGGCGCAAGAGGTCACTATTACGACAGAATATGGAGAAACAGAACAGTTTCCAATTGGTAAGGGGGCCAGACCAGAGTGTATTTTATCTCTCCGTTTCTTCAATCTATATGCAGAACATATCATAAGGAAAACTGGCTTATATTTCAATGAAGGTGGAGTGAAAATTGGTGGAAGGAATGTTAACAATCTGAAATATGCAGATAACACCACATTACTGGCAGAAAGTAGTGAAGAGATTTGAAATAATCACTAATGAAGGCTAAAGCAGCTCCGTCATCAACTAAAAGGGAAACTGCAAACAAGAAATCAGAAAGAGACTGAGGTTGGGAAGGGCAGCCAAGAAGGAGCTAGAAAAGATTCTTCGGTGTAAGGACGTATCACTGGCGACCGAGATCAAGTTCATTCGTGCCACAGTATTCCCCATTCCTATGCATGGGTGGTGTGAAAGTTGGACAATGAAGGAAGGTGGCATGGAGAAAGTTGGTTCTTCTGAAATGTGGTGTTGGAAGAGAGTTTAGAGATTTTACAGATACTGTGGACCGCTAAAAATAAAAATAAGTGGGTTCTAGATCAAATTAAGCCTCAACTCTCCCTGGAAACAAAAATGACTAAAATGAGGCTATCATATTTTGGTGACATCATGAGAAGACAGGAGTCACTGGGAAAGACAACAATGCTAGGAAGAGTTGAAGGCAGCAGGAAAAGAGGAAGGCCAAATATGGGATGGATTGACTCAATGAAAGAAGCCGTGGCCCTCAGCCTCCAAGACCTGGACAAGGCTCTTAAAGACAGGACATTCATAGGGTGGCCATAAGTCGGAAGCGACTTGATGGCAGTTAACACACACAGAGACAGAAATATCTGGCAGGAATCCTTAGGAACTGAAATGCTTGAACTGAATTAAAGAACCCCCCCCTCACCTGCTCTGCTTGCTTCTTCTCCTCTGCCTGACTCAGGAGGAAACCTTCGGCCAGGGCCACCGCCTGCGAACTGGTCTCCGGCCCACATCCTCTGACCCAGCACTGCATTTCCTCGGGCAGGACAGCCAGGAACTGCTCCAGGATCACCAGGTCCAGGATCTGCTTCTTGGTGCGCCTCTCTGGCTCCAGCCAGTGGTTACAAAGTTCATAGAGCTGGCTGCAAACCTCTCGGGGCCCATCAGCCTCGTGATAAGAGAACTGCCGGAAGCATCGGCTGCGTGCATCTGTGGTCATAGTGTCCTGAACCAAGATCTTTGGCACAGCTCTTTCCCAAGTTTCAGCACCGCTCCCTGCTTGGATGGGATGGGGACCTTTCCTGGATCTCTTGCTCGTTCCAGGTCCTTCTGAGTCCCGTTCTTTCATCTCCTTCCCCTTTCTCTTGGGTTGCCTCTGACTCTGGAAAGACACTCTTATTCTTTTGACTGTGAAGAGGGAGAGGGAAAGGTGTTATTATTATTATTATTTATTTATTTATCTATTTATTTATCATTAAATTTATACCCCCGCCCTCCCCAAGTGGGCTCAGGGCAGCTAACAAATGAGGCACCTTATGCCAAGATTAAAATAGCTAAAAACAGAATAAAACAATCAACAAGACAATCATTCGTACAGTAAAATGCAGGTGCTCTAGATGTCATAAATAACAAGATGGGGTCACAAGTAGCAAGATGGTCCCAGAGCAACAAGGTAGGTTCCAGGCATCACAGCCTTCTGTTCTTCATCCTAGGACCATCTCATTCCCCGATGATACCCACTCCGCTTAGTGGTGGTGGTACGGTGATGGTATAGTGGTGGTGGCGGCTCCTGCTCAAAAGCCTGGTGGAAGAGCTCTGTCTTACAGGTCCTATGGAACTGCGCCAGGTCCCGAAGGGCCCGGATCTCCTCTGGGAGCTCATTCCAGCAGGTAGGAGCCGCCACCGAAAAAGCCCTGGCTCTGGTAACAGCAAGTTTAGTATCTCTGGGGCCTGGGGTTATTATTATTATTATTGGATTTATATCCCACCCTCCCCACAAACGGGCTCAGGGCATCTCACAATTAACGGCATCATGTGCCAAAATTAGTATAAAACATTTAAAAATGAGATAAAACAGTAGTACATTAAATACAATTAAATACAATAAAGTGCTCGCAATGATGGTCGTTCTTCAGTCAATTTGACGTGGCGTGCAATGAGATGTGATACTTGGGTCCCAATTTAGCAGTGCTTCGGCCTCCCACGACGCTGTGGCTCGATCTCATGAAGGGCCAACCTATTACCACAATGTCGATAACAGTAATAGTTGGTGGGAGAGGTGGGCGGCTCCTAGTTGAAAGCCTGGTGGAAGAGCTCCGTCTTGCAGGCCCTGCGGAACTGCATCAGGTCCCAAAGGGCCCTGATGTCCTCTGGGAGCTCATTCCACCAGGTAGGAGCCATCACCAAAAAGGCCCTGGCCCTGGTAACAGCGACCCTGGCACTTCTAGGTATCAAAAAGGCAGAAAGAAAACAAAAGAGAACAGAGTTACATCACTGACCCTGGTGAAGAGACGCCTGAAGATTACCCCGATGGATCAAAAAGAGTGTCCTTGTAGTTTGCACATCAGGAAAGGAAAGCATCACTATTTTCCTGTTTAAAATCTGTTGCAGATGTTATGCGCTTGGCTTCCAATTTATGGGGTTCAGTCTGTCAAGTGGGTACATCTCAAGGTAAGCTGGAACCCAGGACAAAGCGACTGCTAAGGGCTTAACCCTCAATAGGCTGGAAGAGAGTTGGGCACTAGCTCTGCCTAAGCAGCCAGCAGAGGGGAAGGTAATTACTGTGTGTACATAACAATTTTTATAAAACAATTTCAATTGTTTTAATAAAGTTTCACACAGTGTTCTCAAATATTCAACAGTTGTCTCTTATTCATTCCACAAGTATCATGATCCTTCTCATGAACATGCCATTTTTAGAAGTTAAATACAATAGTACAAGTACATAGGTAACATCAGTTTTCAAGGAAGCCTGTAAAACAGTTCCATTTAGTCTAGTCCAGAATCACGTAATTTCCACAATAAACAAAATAATCCTCATTTCTTAACATGACCGGCTTCGGATTCGTCTGCATCTGGAGGTGTTCTTTGCTGTTAAAAGGGCTTAGTCAAAACAAAGGCTGAAAGCAGTTGAATATATGAAAATTAAACTGAAGTTGCACTTAGAGCTTGACTGAGCATGGCTGAGAATGTACGTTGAGCTGAAGTTATATTCTAACACAGACCTTAAGTATTTATTCATACGTTTTGTTCCTTCGTCGGAGTTAAATTGATGAGTCTCTTTGTAACCTTTCACTTAAGGCAGCCAATCCTTATGGGCACTTAGAAGATGCTGAGGAGTCTTATGCTTCACAATTCAGGGGAATCTGTACCAAGCTTCCTTGAAAACTGATGGAGCTTATGTACTTGTATTATGTACTTGTATTATTGTATTATTGAAACTGAAGCTGAAATACTTTGACCACCAAATGAGAAGGGAGGACTCCCTGGAGAAGACCCTGATGCTGGGAAAGATTGAAGGTCAAAGAAGACGGGGACGGCAAAGGATGAGATGGTTAGACAGCGTCATCGATGCACCGAACATGAAATTGAGCCAACTTCGGAGGACGGCAGAAGACAGGAGGTGTTAGATCGCGCTAACAAAGGACTCGTACAGTGATTCAGCAAGTGATTCAGCTTTATTGGAAGTAACGAGCAAGCACTAACTCAGTAAGAAACCAGAACAGAAAACAGTGGGAGCTTATGCTCCTTTTAAACATAACCGGGCTAATGTAGCCACGCCTATTTACAAATAACAACCAATGAGATTGCTAGAATAAAGACCAATGGGAGTCTTTCCCTCCTAGGGAATGGTATCGTTCTGATTGGTCGCTGTTACGAAGCGACCAATAGGAAGTTCGCTCAGAGGAGCCCTGGTCTGGCTCGAAGCTTAACATGGGAGTCCTATGAGGTGATTCATGTAATCATTTCAATACATTACAATTCCTCCCCCCTAAGTTAAGCCATCATCCCAATTGTTTTATTATTTACATACATACAATCAACTTTTGTACATCAGTTATTCCAACAGTATTTACACTCATAGTCCTTCAGATAAGTCGGCATTTGCCGCGAACGCTGGGACCTGCGGAGCGGTGCAGGCACCACGGGCAGACAAGGTTGTGGGTCAGAGTGGGGTTCACTACAGCCTGGATCAGGCACAGACTCGACTGGGATTTCAGCCCCGCACACAGGGTTCTGCCCTGACTCGGGGACAGTACCGGGCCTTTCGGTACTCACCGCCTGCTCTGGGGGTGTCCACTCGACATCAGGGGATTCAGCCGTCGGAGAGTCAGCGCTGTCCCTAGCCCAACGTCTCCTTAACTGATCTATGTGGCGCCGCCATATTCGACCGTCAGCTAACTGCACCACATACATTCGAGTACCCACAGAGTCGGATATAACCCCAGGAAGCCACAAGTGCCCGTTTGCATAATTTCGTGCGAAAACCTTGTCCCCTTTTTCAAACATGCGCACCTTCGGTTGCGCAGTGGTACGCTCGGACTGATCTTCTGATAGGTCTGGGTGCATACGGTTCAAACGGGTCGTGAGTCTCCGCCCCATTAACAATTCGGCCGGACTACGGCCTGTAGCACTACAGGGGGTGGTGTGCTGCAGCAAAAGAAAGGAGCCCAGCCTCTGGCTCCAGTCCCCTTCGTCCATTTTACCCAGGGCCTCTTTGGCCGTCCTGACCATCCGTTCGGCTTGGCCATTAGATGCCGGATGGAAAGGGGCCGAAGTCATTTGGCGTATGCCATTACTCGTGAGGAAGAGCCTAAATTCCTCAGACACAAATTGAGGCCCGTTGTCACTGACGATGACGTCAGGCAACCCGTGGGTGGCAAAAAGTCGGCGGAGCGCATGGATCACAGCAAGTGATGTGGTCGATTTCATATGCACGACCTCCAGCCATTTGGACATAGCGTCCACCACAATTAGGAACATTTGCCCTTGGAGAGGGCCAGCAAAATCTATATGCAATCTGGCCCAGGGTTTACCAGATGACTCCCAGCCTTGGGGTGTAGCTTGTGGGGGATCGGGTCTGACTTGCTGGCATTTGGGACACCCTCGTACCCATTCTTCGATCTCTTTGTCCAGCCCCGGCCACCAGACATACCCTCTGGCCAACGCTTTGGTGTGTACCATACCGGGGTGACCCTCGTGCAGCGACTCTAACACTCTCGTCCTGAGTTTGTCAGGAACCACCACCCTGTTCCCCCATAATACACAGCCCTTAGAAATGGATAGTTCATTTTGACGGCTTTTGTAAGGGCCGAACTCCGGTTCAACGCTTCCAACCGGCCACCCCCTCCAAACCCAGTTTAATACTCGGGACAGCACGCTATCCTTGGCCGTGTGTGCTGCAATGTCCCTGGATGATACCGGGGGTCGAGGAAGCTCCTCAATTGCCAAGACCTCACAGGCGGGGGCAGGGTCTGCGCCAATGTCCGGCACCGGGCACCGGCTGAGGGCATCCGCATGCCCAATCGCTTTCCCAGGCCGGTGCTCTAAGTCAAAATCATAAGCCTGCAAAAATATCGCCCATCTAAGCATGCGTGGGGACATGATGTTTGGCAATTGCTTATCGGGCGCAAAAATCCCCAGTAGCGGCTTGTGGTCAGTGACCAGCAAAAATCGTCTGCCAAAAATAAAATCATGGAACTTTTTGACAGCCGCTACCAACGCCAGACCCTCCTTGTCTATCTGGGCATAGTTCCGCTCTGCCGCAGATAGTGATCTAGAATAAAAAGCGATAGGCGCTTCGCTCCCATCAGGCATCAGATGGCTTAAAACTGCGCCTACTCCAAACGGTGAAGCGTCAGCAGCTAACACCAGGAGCTTGTGTTCATCATAATGCGTGAGTACGGCATTAGATGTCAGCAGCTCCTTGACTCCCACAAAAGCCTTTTCCTCGGCCTGCCCCCACTTCCATTTTGCCTCCTTGTGCAAAAGCGCGTGCAAAGGGGCCGCCACTGATGCCTTATGCGGTAAAAACGCATGATAAAAATTCAGGAGTCCTAAAAAGGATTGGAGCTCCTTCTTACTCACCGGCCTGGGGGCGTTTTGGATTGCAGATACCTTCTCATCCGTGGGGTGGACTCCCTCTGCGTCAATGCGAAACCCCAGGAAGTCCACACTTTCCACCCCGAGCGTGCATTTTGAGCGCTTAACTCTGAGGCCGGCATTTTGAAAACGCCTGAGGACCTCTTTAACCCGGTCCAGTAGTTCCTGTTCAGACCCGCCCGCAATCAGCACGTCGTCAAAATAGGGCACTGTGCCAGGTACCCCCCTTAGTAGACGTTCCATGAGGCCCTGAAAAATCCCAGGTGCTACGTTGACCCCGAATTGCAGCCTGTTCACTTTAAAAGCCCCTTGGTGGGTTACAATTGTTTGGGCCTCGGCAGCCTCCGGGGTGACAGGCAACTGCTGGTATGCCTGGGCCAGGTCAAATTTGGCGAAAATCTTGCCACCCCCCAGGGAAGCCAAAATGTGGCTTATTACCGGGACCGGGTACGAATGTTGCTGCAGCGCCTTGTTAATCGTACATTTGTAATCGGCGCATAGTCGTATGGACCCATCTGATTTGACAGGGGTTACGATCGGGGTCTCCCATTTGCTGTATGGTACTGGCTCTAAAACCCCTTGCTCAACTAGTTTGTCAATCTCTTTTTCCACCTTATGTTTGAGAGACACAGGTACTTTCCGATACTTCAACCTAATAGGTTTGACTGACGGATCTAAGTCAAACGCAACCGGGGGGCCCTTGTACCTTCCCAACCCTTCGGCAAATACATCAGGGAACAGGTCGTACAGCATGCCCCATTTATTTTCAGACATCCTGTTAATCCCAGAAATACCGATGCCCAATGGCTCAAACCAATCTAACCCTAGCAGGTTA